TTGCAACAAAATTAACAATATTCATATAATATTCAAAACAAATTTGATCTTGATTAACTTTTAAATAATTATATTGTAAATCAAAATATAGATCAATTTTATCTTTAAGAGTTTGTATTATATTTCTGTAAGATTTGACTGAATTATTGCAATTATTAACAGCACAAGATCCTGTAAGTTTTTGGCGAGACATTTTAGAAATTTAAAAATATTTATAAGTTTATATAATAAATAAATAAATATATACGGACAACAGGTTCTTATATAATTTTTGAAAAGCAAATCATTACTAAATAAATTATTTAATATTAATGCATATTCATAACTTGTGTAAAAATTACGTATGTACGTACGTACGATTTTTTAATATATACCAAATTGGTAGCAATACTGAAGTGTATGGTTAACAGACAACCAGAATGGCTAGTAAACAAAATTTTAAATATGATTAGAAGGTGATTAGTCGTATTAAAAAATATTATGTGATGCATACATAAGTGTGTGTATTGAAGTATAAAATATACGTGAAATGTGAGTTTGTGAACTTGATTGTATTAATTCATTCAATTATACTTAGTAGAATATCATTTAATAACATTATTTATTGTTAAAGTGACTGAATGTAGTATAAAATATATGACACAGCACCGAAGGGATTAATCAATAAGTCCTTTTAATTAAATTGAATAATACTTATGAGCGATATGTGATGGATCAGGTACTACACATGGGTGTTTACAGTACTCCCAGGAATTATTTGGAAGCATATATGTGAATATTATATTGGTCTTAATTGATGATAGTACCATTCGTCAGGATACTTAATATATGGTTAAACTGAATAATTTATATATAGTAACATTGCATAGTAACTTTATAAAACTATTACTGGTAAACATTCTATTCCATCAATTATTAATATTAGTATATGTAACAGTATCATAGATGTGATAAGTACATACCAGGACAGAGAATAAGATCAGTTAAAGAAAATTTGCCATTTAAATATTTTTTTGTTTTAAAAGCTTCTCATAAACATCTTAAACCTAAGCAAGATCTTCGTGAGATTGCTTAAAAACTTCTTGGGCTGGGTCTATATTAAAGATTCTTTTAGCTAATTTTTCATTATATATGATCTTTGGAGCTGTGGGTCATAGTAAAATGCTTCATAAAAAATGTATTGATCGATTAATCCATCTTGATAAACATCGTTAGAATCAAGATCGATGATATTTGGTAATTCTAAAATTACTATCAAAAAGAACTAGTATTTTTCTGTTGTTATAACTTGTTAGTAATCAAATTACTGAATATATAAGTATTTAGAATATGTAATACTTACAATAGGTACTTATTTGCAATAAAATCTTCATCTTTTAAAGATTGAATATTAGCTAGAACTTCAATTTTGTAAAAAAGATCTAATTCCTTAAGGGTAATGGTAATACTAAGAGTAGAAACTGAGCCAGGATATCCAATGAATTTGATAGCAATTTTTTTAATACTAAATATTATCTAAAGACAAGAAAGGCAAAATAAACGAAAAACCTAAAAAATACAAAAACAGCAGCCCAAACCTACCTTGGGTAGATTAATTAAAAATGCTAGAAAGGCAATTTTGCTTATATATAGCTACCTAAAACCTAACCTAACCCCAATACAAGATAACCCTAATCCTAAAGTTAATTCAATAAAATATATATTATCTCTTAAACCGTAATGCAGGCAAATTTGCCTGCTAAAATTTTTTTT